CTTTACTGCCTTTTAACGGAAAATCATTGTCTAGCTGTCCCAGAAATGAACGTGTTGCATGTTGGATAAGGCAGCTCCCCCAAAGGCAAAGATCAGCTGCTGAATAGAAATATAGTTTGATTCAACCTAAAGATCATTAGGAAACAGAAATTCTTGAGAAAAGCTGCCATAAGAGCTTTCTATGTAAATAAGCTAATGTAAAAAGTCTACAATAAATTTCTTACTACTATGAAGTTACTGACTATTAGACATAGGAACAGTGAAGAAAGCTCCCAAAGGAATCAATTAAAAGCTAAGTGCATTTTATCCTCAGAAGAATCTCTCTTTAAATGGCCAATTCTCCTTGAAGAAAGCCAAAGTTAAACTACTCAAATTTTCCACGGGTTGTCATAACATTCCTTATTAACTGGTATTTAGCATTTGATACAACTTATGATAACAGCAGTAAAAATGAAGATATGTGTTAAAATTCACAGTTTCAACTATTTTTAATTAAACAGAAAACTGAGATTATACAGCACCACTTGGTTGTTGCAGTTACTTATAAATCAAAACAAAGGCCTTCATGAGCCTGACACACAGTTTAAAATTGTTTCCAGTAAAATTGGAGATGAGAGTCCTATACCAAAATTTCCAGAAAAAAATTAGCTTATTTATAGACATGAAGAAGGACATCTAATACTGACTGCAAGATTGAAGTCGCTGAGTATTGACACCTACTTCATCAGAAATGTTCCCAAAGTAGTTTGTCATACAATTCTACAACATCTTTCCTATTTTTAGAATACAAGAGAAACGTAAGTAATTTTTCCTTACAGTCAGTACCTGACAGATGCAAAAAATTCCTTGCACTAATCAAAGCAACTCAATATCCCACCAAAAAAACGGCAACTACTCACCCCCACAGACCTGTATCTCCTACCACAGGCATCAAAAACATAAATTCTCACCTCAGGAATATGAGTGAATGCATTAACAGGAGACGAAAATGTAATTTTTCACTGGCCTCAAACAAGACAAACTTAAGGCCACTTCCCCCCACTTCAATCTTCCATACTCTCTAGTCTCAGGCTGATGACTACCTTAGAGTTTCACTGAGCCTAGTGAAGCACTAGCTACAGCAGAGGCAGACTGAGGCTGGGACCACACATTCCGGCAGGAAGGACACAAATACACAAAATGTGGCCAGATAGGATTAATTTCAGGAACATAAACGCTTACATCACATGAAGGCCACACTTAAGCATCTTTGAAAGGTCACATTCATCAAAAGGGGTCCCTCAGGACTGGCCAACATCATACCCATCTTCCATTTAAGCTCTGTCATCAAGTAGGTAATCCTCCTGAAGCCCATGTAACCATGTTGAGGTGTATGAAGAACAAGGAGACTGAGAAAAAACAGTAAGGATTTACCAGACATTGACCAATCTCACCGTTTTTAGTGATGCAGCGACTGGCCTCATGGACCAGACAGATATAGTGGGTATATCTTAATGTGACTTCAGCCAGGCTTTCAGGAAAGCTTCCCATTACAGTCAAATTGGTAAGACGTACTTCTGACAGACTATTAGGTGGGTAATAAACTGGCAGAACTGTTTGGCTCAGCAGCACAGACTGCAGGTTAACGCAGGGATGACTTCCCTCCACTTAGCACTTGTGAAACTGTATGTGGAGTGCTATTTTTGGGCCCTGCAGGACAAGACACTGACTTACTGGAGCAAGTCCAGTAAGTAGCAGAAGTAGTAAGAAGACTACAGAACTAAAGAGAAGGTCAACAAGGGATCTAACACTATCTTCAGTCACCATTCAGCAAATTCCAAATAGACATGAAGAAGAAGAATTCAACAGTGAGGCAAGTCAAACAACGGAATGGGTTTTTCCACCAAGGCTGTTGAATCTCCAGCTTTGGAGATCTTCAGAACTCAATCAGACAAGACCCTGAAGAACATGAGCTTCAACTAGATGACTTCCAACTTAGAATTAACCCATGATAATTCTACGACTTGGTCCATTTTAGAAGCAGTATCAAACTTCATTTGCCTAGGACAGCTGCAAGAAGAATTAATTTGCTTCTTGTACAGAGTGAAATATTAGAACTATGCCATCTGATTAGTTATGGAGTCAATGATCCCCTACAATGCTTAGCCAGTCTGAAATTCGTGCATAGGAAATATGGGCAGAAGCAATAGTCTTTATTTCCCATTATCTTGTTGAAAAAACTCTAGCTCTTGTGTATTTTTTGTCCTTGTGCTCTGATTCTTCCTCTTGTTAATTTATTAACAAGTCACATAACAGATGATGTTTTCAGGGAATTATGACAACATAATTGTATATCTAAGACTTTGTACCCTTATAGTAATGGTAAAAAATGATTAATTTTATCAGAGTATCAGTTAAATTACCTATGTGTTCTTTCCCAAAAGAAGAATGTTGTAATTTCCGTTTACTCTGAATAGACTGATTTTCATTAAGAGTAACTTATATCCTATATGCTGAGAAAAAAAAAATCAAACAGCTAGAAATTCCAAAGGACAATTTCACTTAAGTTCCACAACTAAACATTTATTAAACTGCAGTATATCCTATTACTGTGAGTGTACATTTGTTTCTTTGAACTTACAATAGGTATCATATCTGATCTCTTGATGATATCTGAGTAATAATACTTTACAAAAGCCTTATGCACTGGTTGGGAAAAAAAGTTATCCTGCAGGAAGAACAGGAAGTTTTATATTCATTGAAATAACAATAAAGAAGCAGATGTTTGAGACACACAAAGTTCACTAAAAGTGCCTGAAAAGTTCACTGCACTGTTATTTAAAAACTTGATATAAAAAGAACTGCTGTGTTTTTACAAATGGCACCTCTATAATGCAAATAATTAACAGTAGAACATTTCCACTGTATCTCTTTTTGATAATTTTAAGTATTGTGTAAAGTGAAAATACTACACTCCAGAATTATTCAAAATTATGTGAGATCTATGCTGAACAACATAAAAAGACCATTACAACAAGGAAGAGATAGCATGCGCTATGGTCAATCTGACTGAGCAGCCAAGTATTTAAAGAATAGCAGCTGAGTTCTGCCTGCCTTTTTTCTCTGTGGAGTTCTTTCAAAGTGCTGAAATGAACCTTACCAATTCACCTCTCCCTCAAATCTGGTTGATACGGTGATGAGGTTCTAATGCTTAGGCAGATGGTCTTTCATAGCTCAGTTACACACACTTGTTTTCTCAGGAAAACCAGCTAATTAATGTTCTTCGTTATGCACTAAAAACAAATGAACCAAATAGAAAGTAGCATGTTAATGTATATGTAAATCTGCACTCTACTTAAAATAGTAGCAGAAAATGGTAGGGAAAATGCTTATTAAATTCTTATTATTTTATTTTACACTAGTTCACTATGAATTTGCTATGCAAGAAGTATCAGATCAGACAATTTCAGAGTTCAGTAAGTCTCCACGACAGAATGACATTCACCCAAAGATCTTGCAAGAAATCAAACAGGAAACATCGGGACTGTTGAAACGGTCACTGTGACAACATAATGGTCATCCACAGAAAAGGTTTTAGATGGGAGCTAAAAGCTTTGTGTTTCATTGATTCGAGTCATCATCATTCTTAATACTGAGGGCATGAATAGGGACAAGGAGAAAGTAAAATTGGGGGAACTTTCCACCATAGGAGGTTATGGAATCATACAGTAGCATCTGGTTCAAAAAAGCATTAGCACATTTCAGGCACAAAAAGTCCTTGAATGGATATCGAAAGGACTACATTAGAAAGTACCTGTTATGCACCCCTAACACACGAATTCTGGATGTTGAGAACGTGCAAAAGGAAGGCACTAAAGCACCCCCAACTCTTGTGCTTCCCTTAAATAGCATCTGAATTTTTTCACTCTTGGACACAGAATTCTAGTCCAGAATGGCGCACTATCCTGATCTGGAAAGGTATTTCTTATGTTCCTGTTTAAATTCATAATCCAGTAAGCATAGCATTTATGTATTGCATATTTATCTTATTATTTTTCTCAGTCATTGCAAAAGTTCTTAAATTAATTCAAGCTTTTCTCAGGTTATCTAGCTTTTACAGATGCAGAAGTGTCTTAAAGTAATTAACAGATCTCAACACCATGTAATTTGCTTTTGCGATTTTAAGCTGAATTTCCTTTATAATTCCTCACAGTACTTCTGTTGGCAACAATGTTGCAATCACTGTTGAATATTAAACAGTAGACATCAGAAGCACCATGAGTTTTTCATAATAAATATTAAGAAATCCATGAGTTTCATATATTACAATATACATTCATTCCATTTCTACAAAGACAATCTTTTAACTTTCATGTTTGAAGGCTTTACAGAGGAAGAATTTACTTCTCAATTGAAGATACCAACATTCACCCAAAAATGAAAAAGCCACATTTAAAGGAAAATTTACATATAGTGTGAATACCCAAAAAATTTTCAGCTGGCCTCCACAAGAAAATCTATTATACATGTACTGTTCCATAATGCCCTAACCTGGCAATGCTCCAGAACACCACATTTAGATGCTGCCTTTTTAGAGTAGTAACTTACATTAAAAGGACTTAATTTTGCTCACAGTTATATATGTACCACTCAACATAAATGAATATTGCATGCGAACAGCCAACAGCAAAATCTGGTACAAAGTATTTCACAAGAATGAAAACATATTGACTAAGAAAGCCTCCACAGTTTATGAGAAAAGTAATGGAATAAAAACAGCTGTATTCATAACCACATAAAACATTCTGCATTAATGTCCTTAATTTCAGAAAGAATATTAGGAATAGTGTTGTAACAGGAAAGCTACAGGGCATCCGGGACTGAATGACCTACATAAAGTAATTAAAAACAGTACTAAGCAAGCCACTGGAAAGGAATGGACTCAAGGTGGTTATTAATTAAAAGGTATAATTTTCTCAACATGCAAATTGGCAGGCACAAGTTAAGCTAGGAAGAATTACCTTCTTGGTTTTCATACTGTTCTGACAACAGATGGTAGCAGCAGCCTACACTGCAAACTGCTTTGATTTCAGGCTTGGCAGTAAAAATTCGTAATGTATTTGGAGCAAGATCTCCGCATGTATGAAGACCAACCATTATAGAGTCCTAAGAGAAAAAGGAAAAAAACAAAACAACAATAAGGCACCTCCTTTTTTTTTTCAATGAAAAGGGCAAAAATAAGATGACAACAAACTCCAAATCCCCAAACATGTTGCAAAAGGTTATTTACTTGTAAGGTTTAAATATACAGCTCCACAAGGACTCCTGCTATTCCATTCCAGAATTTTTAAATGACATATTTCCTCTATGAAGAATCAGAACGGTCATCTCTTTGATTACAGTTACTCATCCCTGCACCTTTCTTGATTGGCTATGAGCAGCAAGCAGCTTAACTGAATGGAAGAAAATGTCCAAGTGGTGACAGGGTATTGATCATTTTCTCTTCCCTTCTCTGGCTTTCCTTTTAATATTACTACTACTGCTATTTCCTTCTTGTTTTACTTCAGATTTACTACCGTAACATATGTGGCTCAACTTACCCTATGGCATTTCTTCCCAATCATAAGTGTGAATTAAAGAGCAGGTCCCTCACCATCTGCTTTGCTATTTCCAAAATTGCACTACTATAGCAGTTTCACAGTAGGTCTGCTACTATTAAGCTAAACATAAGCATATTCTTCCATAAAAACATGGAAAAAAATCAGGTTCAGATACTCTATTCTGTATATCCTATTTCCTGCCTTCCTTTTTTTTTTTCCCCCTTCACTTTCATTTTTTTTCCTGTTTCCCATCCCAATTATCCCTTTTCTCACCATTCATAATATTTTTTTTTACTTTCCATTCAGACTTATTAATTGGAATCAAAACTGTAAAAGTGATGTTTGCTGTTTTGATTCATTAGCAAGGTTATTAACAAGAATTTAACCCTGTTACATTCAAATATGTTAACTTTCTTTAATCATTTTGAATTCACATGCACATCTATTTTTAATCCTCTGCATTACAACATTTTTTGCCATGCATCTATACTCTATAGTGCACAGATGTGTTGGAAGAACAACCCTTTTCTTTCTCTGTTTTCTGCTTTTTCCCTATCTCCCAACTTCTTGCCTTCCACTTCATTTGCACTGTTCCTCTGCACTAGCCCTTTGCTTGATTCAGGATGCCAAAATTTTAGGTGGCAAAAGTTCAGGTTTCATTTTGGCTTAGTTTTTCACCTTTGTACAAGACTTTCTCCCTCATGAAAACATAAAATAGTGAATGGAAGAACAGTGAAGTTTGGAAGCTAATGCAAGAAGTCCACTCGTAGAAAGCACTTAAATCCTTGGAATAGAAAACCTAGAAAGATTCTCTGAGCAGAGAGCCAGGGAAAGATGGCTACCATATGCAAGTCACACGACAAACACTACAACACTCACAATTTCTGAAGTGTCAAGGCAATCTCAGTCACATTTTCTAGTCAGCTACATTTTTGGCCCATCACTGACTTCAGCAGATACCTAGATACTACCAAGAACACTTTCCTATCCTTCAACTCAAGTCTAGCAAAATTTCGTATCTCAACACTAGACATGGGATATACACAATTTCTATCTCTCTATATTTCTATCCCTGTATTTTGTTAGCAATTCAAACAAATTTCAAAAACTATCCTATAAATTAGTAAACAGTAATTTTTCTTATTCCAATGTCTTAGGAAAAATAATTAAAAAAACCTAGTATCATTAAAATAAAAATTCAAAATTCTTTTAAAACATAAATATTTGCACATTTTAAAGTATTTTTAGCTACACATGTTCATCGCACATAGTATGTACACCGATCAGTTATTACTGTGTTCTTACAACAACAAAGTTTTCACTTACAGTAACTTTTTCCTTTAAAGAAAGGCAGTAATATAGGATCTCTTCTGCCTTTTGCACTGATAGAAACTATATACCAAGAGGATACAAAATCCAACTGTGCAAATTTAAGAGCATGTATTTGACATTAGTTTTGCGTGAGTGTAAAGCACAGGAGTAACTCCAGGACCAGGAAGAGTACGTCCGTGCAGGACTGGGGGCACAGGGAGCCTCCAGCTCCTTGCCTGCACTGTGGCCAGGTGGGAACACCCTATTGCTGTCCACCAGCTACATAACCAAGATTCAGACTGCACTCAAGTGAACAAATACTTCATACACTCAGGGTATATCTTTCCTAGACACACATGAGCTAGCTCCACACATTCTCAGATACTTAGTGGGATTTATTAGCTCATATATAGCGTTACTAACACAAACACATGATATTGGAATAGAGACAAATTACAGTCCTTGAATATATTTAATTCTGTTACTACTGAGCACAGACAAGTTTTCATCTTTCCATGAAAGATTACACACTATCTACTTCCACCAGTGTGGGACAGCTCAGGCATATGAGCTAACACAGCTAATACTGCTACTGGTAAGCTGAGTTGTGGCCTGTTTGTGTCCACATACACCTTGTGGGTTAGTAAAATATTAACTGTATTTAAAGTAACTCCAAAAAACATCATGTATAAAGACAGTGTGTATAAAAAAGTCTCTTAAAATATTCTTCACATTGAATACTTGCACTAATTTCTTTTATATCTTCCAAGTTGAAGATAACATTAAAAAATAAAAAACTTAGAAAATAAGAAATTTCAGAGAATAATATGTTTTTCCCACTGTTAAACATAACCATTTTCATAGTAGTTATACGTGTTACTTATAAATTAATCTGTAAAGTAGCTGAATACACTGTTATGTATGCTGGTAATTTTGATAGTTGATTATTTACTCCCCAGATTCTAAAGACTGCTTTACTTGCATATTCCAAATAATCCTAACACACACATTGAAGCAGCAAAACACTCTACACAAGTATTAGACATAGTTACACACAAGTTGAAAAACATCCCTGGGCCAGAATCTCTCATTCATTTACACCTCTGACGCTTCTCTACACGCAAACATTTGGTATATAGGAAATTAACAACATGAAGGTAGTACACAATCTACATCAAATATTAGTAAAATAACCTCCAGATCTGTAATGATGTCACTGAGTTCTGTTTCTGCTGTGATGTAGGAGGTCAATGGAAAATAAAGATTCGATTCACTTGACTTGCTTGCTTTAGCCTGGAGAGAAGCCATTTTTCTCCGTGTCTTTTCCTCTTCACAGAGCTCCTCACAGTCACGCCGAGATGAAGTAAAAATATCAACAGCATCAGCAGGCAGAACATTTAGAATATCAAGAATATTTCCTGAAAGTTTGTCCTCATCAGATTGTGTCTGAGCCGCCAAATTAATTTCAGTTTGTTTGCTGGTTTCAGGTTTAGCTATCTCTGTGAAAACACCAGAATCTTGGGTAGTCACTCGGAACTGACTTTGAAGATCACTGTTATTATTTAAGGGCTTTTCATCAGTATTTGATTCACATTTAATTTCAGTTTGCACTGGCCTATCATTCACCTCTTCCGACTTCTGGCTTTTGAGATTTGCTCTCGCCCGACTCTCATACGCTCTCCAGTGCTTCTTCAATTTCCTGTTCCTTTCATGAGCACCATGAGTGTTGCTGTTTGACGAATCAATTCCATAAACTTTTAAGTTATAGTGCATGGACAAAAAGGAACTCAGGTAGCCCTTTCCAGAACCTATATCAATTACCTAGAGGTAATCAAAAAGAAAGAACTCTATTATTGAGCAATAAGTAGGATACATTTCAATCAAATGTAAACAATTTCCTTAAAAAAGTAAGCACAGATTTCATATCTACCCATAATTATCATGGAATTCATAATTATCACTTATCCCACTTCATTCACTTGCTTTGCTGAACTTTGTGCTGATTTTAAAACACAAAAATAAATCAGAACTGATTCATTCCAGACAACAGACACTACACTGCTTATGCAACATACACATCCTGGCTCTTCTGGAGAAGTCTTTCACTTTAATTTTCGACACAGAATTTCCTTCTGCTAAGGAAAATAACCACAAGCTACCACCAATACCACCCAGAATTTCCAAATTAGCCAGATTACATAGTTAGGAAAGAAAGAATTTCTATTATTTGAATTTATACATCTAACTGCCACATTTATTACGCTAAGTTAGAAGTCTCCTACCTCTGGATATACAGAAATAAAATTCTCCAGTTTCTTACTTAACCACTACAGACACATGCCTAAAGGTCAACAGTGTGAACATTGCGTCTTAAGTCAGAACATTTATATCAGTTTCCCTTCTTATGAAAATGACCCGTTCAGGGATCTATATAACCTAAGGATATTTTTGTAATAAAATAAAGGGGCTCAGATGCCATGTGATTTTCACAACCTGTTCCAGAAGGAGTGAGTAGAAAGGATATTCCAGAAGTTTAGTTTAGTTTGTTGAAGTATATCCTACTTCAACAAACCCTGCACAGAGTAGTACTGCAAACAACCTCATAACTTAAGCACATAAACACAACTTTTACTATGTGTGTTTTAAATTATATTAATATATTATTTATTTGTGTTAATATACATTATACATGTGTGTATGTATATATTTGTAATCTATGTATTTCACAAAAACAGGCAATAGATTATCAGTTCTCTAAGGAAACGAACTGATAATGGTCTCTTCTGTTCAGGTGTCTCTCAGAAATTATACTCACTAGATACAATGGTTTATCCGTTACTATATGTTCTTGCAAATGACAAATACAAGTTTATTTTTAATGTCTTATTCTTGGTCTGTAAGACATTCATAAAAAAAGGTATAACAAAATACACTCAATGTAGCCTTACTCTCACTGAAGTGACAATCTTTATTCTAAGAGCTTTTTAGGTTTGTATAGCCATGAAATTTGGACAAAAATCAAAAATTCAAAATCTGAAAGACCACACAAAACAGCAAACTACTATTAGATATAGGTTATTTAACCATGCTACATGTGGTTCTTCATGTGATGCTGCAGCACACTTGCCGTCTACACACTACAATTCTCAATTTTCTTGAATGAAATCAGTGCAGGAGTGAATTTACTGATATAAAATTAAGAAAGACTCTAAACATACTATTTTTGAATGTAACTTTCATCACCAATATTCTTCCAGAATATTTAAAAGGAGGGAGAAGTGCTCAAGGAATAAATCAACTCACCGCTTTACAAAAGAGATATTATTATTATGCAGAATATGCACATCTCCATTTCTACAAGGTTCAGAATTATTTCTGTGAAAGGAACCATGCAGAGATATAGATTCAGATAACTCATACGTGCTATGGCTGTACTCTAGTGGCTGTAAAGACAAACTACTGTTTTGGTAGGATTTATTTGTTTCCAAGCAAAACGACAAGAGTAACAGACTGTTACATTAATACTGGGACAATGGCTCTAAAATGAAGGGAAGATGTGGCTACAAATAAGTAGCCAACTATTTTGTGCTGAATAGATAGACATGATTAAACTAATCCCTGCTTTACCCTTCCTTCACTGCAGAAGGAAGGGTGATCAGCAATCTGTAGTGTTATTAAGATGAGATTTCCATGATCCAATATACTTTAAAGGTCCTGTGTGCCATGGGTTGGGTACTGTGTTTAAACAGCTTCTAGCACAATCAAGAACTCGATTTCTGGAAGCATTCCGTTGTTTTCCAGCACCAAAACACAAATTTAATAGCTTCTGAATTCAGAGTTAAACTTGTATTGCCTACACTGCAACTCTTGATGTACATGTTGCAATTTCCAAGGAAACCTTATCAAATAATGCAAAGAAAACTAATATGTATTTAAGCAAAGAACTACCACTGGCTTCTTTTCAGAAATGAATCAAGAGTAATATAAAAAGTTCTTCTTGTATGATACAAACAGATAAAAAGGGGCAGTAAGCAATTTAAAAATCTTTAAAGTTAGCACGCTCTAATGCTTTAATTTAAATCATTAACCTGAAAGTGATTACAGTACTCATGATTTTTTTATGCTTTTATTCTCATTTTACTACGTATTACATTATAAAACACCACAAGAGCATAATATCCTTTACCACCCATTATACATCATGGGTACAGAGGTGAAACTGAGGGCATTCTTCAGTCTTTCAGTGATCTCTAGTATCTGAAAGAAACACCCTGAGGACATACGCTGTTGTAAAACATGTGTTGTGTTTTCATAGCTCAAGATTTTTTAATTAAATGCTACATATATTTGTTTTGCAAGAAGGACACAAAAAAAATCAATAAGGAAAAAATCTCTCCTAAAACTTAACAATTTCTGTATTTTCTTAAGTTGAAAGGTAACCAAAACAAAAGAAGTTGCTTTTAATAACTGAGAAGGAGATTTTTTTTTTTTAATGTAACTGGAAAGCTCTTTTCATATATTAGGGATTTGTAACTTTGAACAAATAAATTTTGTTGCAGTGTATGACTAAAATGCAAAAAAAAAGTTAATATAAAGCAGTCGACCTTTCATATTCAGTGATATACTGCAATGTTTTTCATTAAATACTACACTTTTTTTCCAAAAAAAAACAATAGAAAATAATCTTTTGTCTAATGATACCCCAAACCAACTGATAAAAGTGCATAATCACTGGCTGAAATTGCAGCATATTGACAGATACTTAATAATGATTGCTTTGAGATTTTATTAGCAACCAGCTATATCAGGCCTTACGTCAGGTCATTAAGGTGGCTCTATTTTTTTTACTCTCTGAATGTAGGTTTTTCTTTCCTTTCATTCCTGAATCTCACAGGACCTATTTGAAATTTAAATGAAAATGCTATATGAAACACCACTATTCCACCTTCTGAACACCGAGTATTGCATCATAGGCAAACTACAATTTTCTGTAGCTTTCTCACTACATGAAAGACCTCAACACTTGAACAGCTGACACTTGCCTGAAGTAAAAGTCAAAAACATTTAATGAAGAGGAGAACACACTTTCAGGAATTTGACAGTATTGTATGTTTATTCTTTACAGACAACATCCACCTACCTGAAAATTCCTGAAAGAGCTACTGAAAGAGCTACCTACACATTCTCTGTAAATGATCATGGATGGTCACCAACTGATTGCATCTCATCCAGTGATATTTGGCAACTACAGCTGTCTTTTACTTATCAATCCCCGCTGTAATTATGGAGCAGGCTGCCTTTGCCCTCTATAGCTGTTTCTCACAAAACAGAGATTCTGAGTTTCAATCTTGATTTTCAAAGATGCCACAGATCTGGCCTCAATCTGACAGAATATTTACTCTCAGAACACATCATTTATACTGTTTAAGTTAAATTCTCAGTCTCGGCTGAATAATTTCTAAATCACAGTCCAGCTTCATCAACTGACTCCAGTTTAGGAATTCTCATTCCAGTCCACTGTGGCAGCAGCAGCAACTCAGGACTCTGCAGTTCTATCTGCAGCAGCAAACAACAGTGCACAAACATATACCCTAGTATAAACACACTTTACATGCCTCTCCACGGTACTCATTTCTAGGAGTTTCTCCCTGGCGCTGTTATAAAACATTCCAACTAGTCCCCCATGGAAAAGGGTCAGGCATCATCTGGGACACAGAGATCCCTCTCAGCGAAGGAAACATTCTTTTCTGAAGGAGAGAGTTTAGCTAAATGCATGAGAGGAGGAATATGCCATTTCCTTCAATGTTCTCACCCAAATTACTTCTGTTGACAGATTTAGCCTTCCAGTGCGTCTCCACACCTACATTCATTTCATATACTTTTAAAAAACATTAAGAAAAAACAGTATTTTTAAAGCTGTACTGAGAAAAGGAAGGCTAAGAGAAAATAGGCAGCAGAAAATCTGGGCAAGTATTCTCAGCCTTGCTTTTAAAAAACTATAGCCTTTGTTTGAGCATTATTGAATAACTGGTTTGGATCCTGCCAACTAAACCTGACTACCTGAAATATACAGTTACATATTTCTTCTTTCAAACTGATCTACCCTGAAACTATAAAGACAGTATCTAAAGCCCTAATTAAATATCTCAGTATATCTTACAGAAAGGCTGCCAGCATTAAACAAGAAGGAAAATTCCAAATACCTTGCACCAGAATAAGAAAGCATACTTTTAAAATTGTCCAGATTTTCTTGGGCTTTTTTGGTTTTTGGTTGTTTTAGCACAGTACTGTTGTGTACCTAAAGGAAGGGAAAGTGCAAAATTTTGCTCTCTTAGTTACACCTGCCCATGATATGGAACTTTTAAAAGAGAAACTACCTGTGCATAACGAAAAGCAGTACTATTTTTAACCACTCAACATACAAAGGATGATTACATTCATTAAAATTTTTCATGAGTCATAAAATCAAAATGACAGACAGAGAGGCAGTTTCTTGAGAATGATACCTTGGCAAGCAAGCTAGTTCTTCAGCTACAGGTTTTTATTTATCAATAATTATTTCCATGAAAAATAAAAATAGCAGTGACAGAGTATCAAACTACAGCATATGAACATGTCAAAAAGAATAATTTTAAGGTCCATACTAACATACAGGAAGAAATGCTTTCTTACCTGCTTTATGCCATAATAACTTGCTATGCTGTCTACCAGCTCTGACATCACCTGCACTTCATGTGATTTCTTATTATTCATGAATTCATCAGTTTTAATGCCTACATCAAATTAAGAAAATGAATACAATTAAGACAATTCAGAATAACTGAACCTTATAATAAACTGCAATAAACACATGCCTAAAATAAATTAAGCATTTTGCTATTTTAGGGGGTAGTAATTTTGAATTAAAATCTCACTAGATAATCATAAAACTAAATTTCTGAATTAAAGATTAGTATAATTTAAACATTCTTTTAGAAAACACTAACTGTTTTGTTGAAGAATGCACTAATGAGGTGGAGTTAACCTCTACTGCCAATTCACTGTGCTAAATGGCAGGCACCCGCTATGCTCATCTCCACATCCCCCAACCAAAGGAGCAATTCAGAGATTGTGAGAAAACCAGGCCATCATTATTAGTCCAGTGTAATTGATTATAGTTAGGTCAATGGGAATTTTTGTGAGGTAAATCTGAATGAGAGTTGCAGAAACTGGACTGCTATTAGTAAGATGAATTTTAGAAAACAAGACTTTTCTACACAACTAGGACTATTAATATAGCTCTCCATTTGGTGGGTTTTCTTTTGCACAGAATGTGTTTATCTGTCCAGAATCATATCATTAGGCAATAACTATGTTCATTCTTTAATCAGATCATGCTGGGAAGACAGCCAAGAGTGTTTTCATTTAGAAGACAGTGGGGAATTGAACTGAGCTCATGCAAAATCTAGTGTTTTTCCTCATTTTTAAAAACCCCAGAGAAACTCTGTTTCTTAAACATCTGTTTTTTTTATAATAAGCTGTTGTGACAAGATTTAAAATGTAGAATAGATTCTATGAACTTACAGAAAAAAATAACAGACTAAAATACTTTTAAACAAAATCAGATAGAAAAACTGCCTGTCATTTAATTGTTAGCATTGTAATGCTCATTAACTTTAAACTGGTTAGGGTCTTCATAAAGAAACTAACACTCAAAGCGTGGCCATTATTATCTTTATCATGAACACACTGCAAGGTTACAGCACGCTCTTAATACAACATTCAAGTCAGCTTCCCCTCTTATATTCAGATATGAACCTAGTAATAAAAGCTGGGTTCTTCCTTGTCAGACAAATTCTTCTGGATCCTATGACATCTCTCGTATGAGGAGAGACTGAGTGAGTTGGGCCTGTTTTCTCTGGAGAAGAGAAGGCTGAGAGGGGATCTGATTAACATGTATAAGTTCATGAAGGGGGAATGTAGGGAGGAAGGGGCCAAGCTCTTCTCAGTGGTGGCCAGTGACAGGACAAGGGGTAATGGGTGCAAGCTGCAACACAGGAAGTTCCATCTCCAGGTGAGGAGGAACTTCTTTCCTGTGAGGGTGAGAGAGCCCTGGCACAGGCTGCCCAGGGAGGCTGTGGAGTCTCCTTCTCTGGAGATCTTCCAAACCCGCCTGGATGCCGCCCTGTGCCCCGTGCTCTGGGTGTCCCTGCTGGAGCAGGGGGTTGGACTAGATGATCTCTAGAGGTTCCTTCCAACCTCAGCCATTCTGTGACTCTGTGATTCTGTGATGACCTCAATGCAAGGAACTTGATTGTTCAAGAAAATCTGCTGTGAACTTTGGTAGGAAGCAACGGAGAAACTCCTTTAGATTCAAAACTTCCATTCTGGACATCTATGTCAACACTACATTTAAAAAGGTTTGTTCTCATTTTTTTTAAGCAATTATTCATAGGTAAGGGTAGGAGTTTTTGTGTTTTTAGGGCTTAATAAGGTAGAGAGCTTAGCGAAAGTAGATGATATAGTATAGCACAGGGCATAGAGCTTAGGGCATGGCACTCGGAAGATCTCGTGATGTCACGGGAGGTTAGGAGCATAATTAATTTATGCAGTTTACTGATAACCCCATGCCATACAAGGTGAAAAGTAGAAATTAGTCTCCCGATTGGGCAGTAGGTGAGTCTCCACATTCAGCTGGAGTATATAGGCAGACTGAACTGCGCAATAAACGCCATTTTGCTGCATCCCCCATACTGGTGTCTGTGCTCTGGGGCCCTGGGGTGAGGACAACCCCAGGTCAGTCCAGCTAGCAAACGAGGCTTGCCGACCCCTGTCGGCAACAGGTAAGATAATCATATGTCTAACGTGCTAAATAAGTTTGAAAACCATTCAAGTATGCAATCTGTGGGAATATGCTTCCAAGCATGATTGTACTAGAATAAGGAAATTCTCTACAAACATCTCAGTGTAAATGGAATTATCCCAAAGAATATTTTTCATGATATGAGCATAAGCATCTTGAAGTTGCTCATTTTCTCAGACTCACTCTTCTCTTGCCTTGCAAGTAGTAGCAACTGAGCAAATGAATATATTTTCTGAAAACAGAATTAAGTACAAATATCTAAAATACTTTGGAGTTAAAAGATCACAAGTCTTATTTCGCAACTTGTATGACAACCCTCAAATTTGGAATTTTGCTTCTCTCAAGTCAGTCAGCAAGCCCTCCACTGGGTTAATTTAACTGTTACATACAGTGAATTCAATACAAAAGTTTCAGATTCTACCACTGTATATATAAAACACTTGGAACACTCTCCATTTTTATTATGAAGTACAATTTAAAACTACAACTTCACAATCTCAGGGTCCAGTTATCATTCTGTTATCACCAAGAATCATTCCTGCAAGATGCCAAACAAGATATTCAGCATCTGTCTTATTGCAGATGTTCCATTTTGCATGACAAAAGACAGAAAATCTTCCTACTTTTCTCTAAGAAAGCTCATTTAAATATGAAATCGAGTATGGGTATAATAAGGTAGAACTACAGAACTGCAGAACACAGGGTAAAAGGGCATTCAAAAAAATGAAAATAGCTAAAAGGTAAGTAAAAGAAAAACTGCACCGTTGGACATAGGGAAACATAAGGAAAAAAGGCTTTAGATGAAAGAAAAGCAGAAGGAAAGAAGCCAGAAAGGAAAGTTACAGTAAGACCAATCAGTCACAGTCTGTTAGAGTGTTTTACCTGTGGCATTTTGGTAATTATGAAGAAATGGAAAAATGGTAAAGCAAATATGGAAAATGGCTAACCTGGAAAAAGATCACTGCAGAAAAGGGCAGAGATGGCCAAAATCTGCAATGGTGCTACCACTTATGATAGAAAAGGTCAGAAGAGTTTTAATATATTATAGAGACAGAACACATCACAGCGCAAAGAGCTGCTCAGCATCTGTCTCTGAAAAATTAATGAGAAGTTTGAAAGACAGCAACAAATCCATGACGGCTCAGGTCTTACTGAAGAGCACACCTGCTGTGAAAATGACAGCAGTTAAAGTAAGTAGAAATGCCTATTTATCATCTGATAAAGAAATACAGTCTGGGGTAAGACTTCCCTTGTAAAGCTGCCAGCTTGAGAGTGTTTTCATACAATTTCTGTAACTATAGAGAAAGAAACAACTCTAGTCTTAAGACATATACTTGGAATTGGTCCCCAAAAATACAGACTGAAATCTCAAAAAGAAAATGATTTCATTCAAAGCCTTATAGGGACACATTCAGTTAAATACCTAAGCACATACAAAAGGTGCAACAAAAAATCCCTCCTAGGGGCAGGGCCCCAGGATGGTAGGCTGAGGCTTTTCAAAAAAGCAGCACTTGCAGTCATGATTCTTGCTGCTGAAGGAGACAAAAAAAAAAAAAACAAAAAAAAACAATAAAAGGAATAAAACTTTGTATATGAATTGTAAGTCAAATAATGTGCTTGCTTGCCCAAAGAAAACAGCACTGCAAAGGACACATACAAAATTAACTATAAAGGTAAATGTACCGTTTCTTTCTTGATGGTCTCCTCTCAGGGCTTCAAGTAACTCTTCCAACGGTGTACACATGCCAAGGTTTGACAAAGAGTAATACCTGGCAGCCAGGGCAAAGGACTGCACATCCATAACCTTCTGAGACTCCTCACAGAAGACACTGGAAAGCCTGCTCTCATCTGTATGGAAAGAGAAAGGAAAAGATCTGGTTCTATTTACAAAAACACAATCAAGTCATAAGAAGTTCTAAGACACCGACCTGCCATTTTTGTATGTATAAATTGTTTTCTTCCTTCAGAATTTAGCTCAAACTTTGCCTTGGTTAAGTTAGTGTGAACTTGGAAAAATCTATTCTTTTTGCAGAGCCGTTTTAGTAAAACCTGTATGGGAATTCTGTTAAGATTATCACTTACCCTCTGCCTACAAGCTTCCTCATTATGCATTTCATAATTACCCCATCTGACAGTATATATTACTATAATGATTTTTAACGGAAATACAGCTGTTCAACATGCAAAATGTCTTGACTTACAATCATTACATTCATGTATTTTCCTACCTGCTTTTTAGCTGGGGAATCTACTGGGAGAATTAAATTAACTTTCATCTCCAGTCAGGTGCAATCCAAAGTTAAAGCCTGACGCATATTTTCACAGATTCACAGAATATTTAAGGTTGGAAGGGACCTCTACAGATCATCTAGTCCAACCTCCCTGCTCAAGCAGGCACACCTAGAGCATGTGGCACAGGGTGGCATCCGGGTGGGTTTTGAAGACCTCCAGAGTAGGAGACTCCACAACCCCCCCTGGCAGCCTGTTCCACTGCTCTGTCACCCTCACAGTAAAGAAGTTCCTCCTCACCTGGAGACGGAACTTCTTATGCTTCAGCTTGTGGCCATTACCCCTCGTCCTGTCACTGGCCACCAGTGAAAACAGCCTGTCCCCTTCCTCCCTGCATTCTCCCTTCCTGAACTTATACATATTAATCATATCCCCTCTGAGCCTTCTCTTCTCCAGAGAAAACAGGCCCAGCTCRCTCAGCCTCTCTTCATACGAGAGATGTTCCATTCCCTTAATCATCCTGGTTGCCCTTCTCTGGACCCTCTCGAGAAGCTCCACGTCCCTCCTATACTGGGGTGCCCAGAATTGAACACAGTACTCCAGGTGTGGCCTCACCAGAGCTGAGTAGAGGGGCAGAATCACCTCCCTTGACCTGCTGGCAACACTCCTCCTGATGCAGGCCAGGATCCCATTGGCCTTCTTGGCCACGAGGGCACACTGCTCACTCATGGTTAACTTGGTGTCAACCAGGACTCCCAGGTCCCTCTCCGTGGAGGTGCTTTCCAGCAGGTCGACCCCTAATCTGTACTGATGCCTGGGGTTATTCCTCCCCAGGTGCAGGACCCTGCACTTGTCTCTGTTGAACCTCATGAGGTTCCTCTCTGCCCAACTCTCCAGCCTGTCCAGGTCCCTCTGGATGGCAGCACAGCCCTCCGGAGTGTCGGCCACTCCACCCAGCTTGGTGTCATCTGCAAACTTGCTCAGGGTGCATTCCGTGCCCTTGTCCAGGTCATTGATAAACAAGGTGAACAGCACTGGGCCCAGTACTGACCCCTGGGGGACACCACTGGCCACAGGCCTCCAACTGGACTTGGCCCCATTTATCACCACCCTCTGAGCTCTGCCATCCAGCCAGCCCTCGATCCACCGCACCGTGCACTCATCTAGTGCACTGTCCCGGAGCTTCTGTATGAGGATGTTATGGGAGACAGTGTCAAAAGCCTTGCTGAAGTCAAGGTAGACAACATCCACGGCTCTCCCCTCGTCCAGCCAGCCTGTCACCCCATCATAGAAGGCTATGAGGTTTGTCAGACATGACTTCCCCTTGGTGAATCCATGCTGACTGCTCCTCAGCAGCTTCTTCTCCTCCATATGCCCGGAGATTCTCTCTAGGATGAACCGCTCCATCACCTTTCCAGGGACAGAGGTGAGGTTGACCGGCCTGTAATTGCCCGGCTCCTCCCTCTTGCCCTTTTTGAAGACTGGAGTGACGTTGGCTCTCTTCCAGTCCTCGGGCACCTCCCCTGCTCTCCAGGACATTTTGATTTTGAATGAAGTATTTTGGTTAGATATTACTTAGTACTTTATTAGTTAGTACTTTAGAAAACACTAACTTTTTAAAAATATAGACCTACTTTAAAGTAAAAAATGCAATAGTATGAATCACTTAATATTTCTGGGAATACAGTGATTTCAAATGGTATATTTTATACTTTTAATACATGGTATATTTTCTAATTCATAATAATTTAGCTGAAATTATTTGTTGATTTCTACATAGTTCTGTTAAGAGTCTTTACATGGTTAAAAACTTAAAATTTCAGTAAGTCTCTAAGTTTTTTAATTCCAAGTTGGAACACCCAAAAAAGGAGGCAATTATCTACATAGTGGAGAAGTGCCAGCCAACCTTGAATAAAGCAGCAATCTAGATTCTCGGTAGCACTGAATGGTATAAAAAGATGTGTGAAAATATCTTCGATATTACAGTTTCAGCATAATTTAAAAACACTAGTAGTAGTACTGGATTTTGGGTTAGCCTGTCAATTTGACATGACAGTTTACACACACTACACAAAAAGATCCTTTTGGACATATGAAAGACACAGTGACATACAGAACATACTGAAACTATCAAGTAACAGGGTGTCAGTATCCAGTACACCCCACACACATATACTAGTATAGCAGGTTTCTAGAGATAGATTTTTTTAAATGAATTAACCTTTGCATTAGGAAATTAGATTAGAATCACTTCAATTTATTTCCTTTATTTTCTGTAAGACTCTGTAGAAGAACCTTGCTTTCAGTGTAAAAATGCTTACACCAAAAAAAGGGAATGTTTATTCATACTGCTTGCTAGAAAAATAAACCCTTGACTTCTCTCAATGTCTGTATGTGTGGTGATGTTGATAGAAAAACATATTTACTGAGGAAAATCTATTTTTTATATATTGTTTTTAAAGGGACTTTCATTCACTTCACTCATTTAAGATTTTCCATATACATGCAGTGTTTCCTGCAATTTACACATACTCACAACATGAATGTAGCCTGAGCTCCCCCAAATGCATAGAAATCTATCGGTTGGATCCATGGGGAACTGATCACTAATCTATCAAGCAAGAGAACAAAGTTGAAGGGATTCAACTAGCTAGGCTACATGCCAGCAATTATTGAGGAAGTGATAAAGAAGAGGCATTAAATCTCAAGGTGCAGAGGGATATTTTGCCAGCTGTTCAGCACCGTTGCCAGGTGAAGAAGGAATCTAATCTTCCTGATGAGAAGTTGGCGTTCCCATTTCATCAATATGATGGTCTCTCTCATGCAGTACAGCACTTAGTATAACATACTTGTGAAAATTACAGCCCATTCCAAAACATATTTATGCTTTTTTTATCTCCGAATTTTATTACCTCTGTGTCCAGCAAAGCTATTTTTGGCATTTGAAAAAGATGGAGCACCTGACACTGAAACGTATAATGTTTTTAGTTAGTAACACACATTTTTAAATATTCCGGCCAATCTTGTATGATAAAATGAAAAACGAAACATAAACCTTGCCTTCCAAAATCCATTTATCTTTTTAATGGTATGTAATTACATGAAATAAAGGAGTTTGGAAATATATTGGAATGTCATCTTATTACAAGTCATTTCTTTAATAAAACTTAGGCAAATAAGAAACAGATCTGAATAAACTTTAGTTTCTGTACATTTCATTTTCATACATGTACATTACATAGCCATTAAACATCCATGCTTACACTAAAAAATATTTTGCTTTCTAAGTAGTATTTTTTTCAAAATATCTGGCTAGACGTGAGTAATTTTCAGTAACATTTATGTTCCGCATGTGCTGATCTGTGGAAAAAAAAGTGGAAAAAAAAATGCCTTCTGATATTGCAACAGTGTTGGCTACTTGGAGGTGGAAGAACAAATACTGTTGTTCTTGTTTTGCGTAATAGGATAACAACCTGCACAAGCTACTTAAAAGTATTCTGTTTAGGTAACTATCCTGCACAGAAGATACACCTAGACTGACTAGAAACTAACAACTCTGCTATTACCTTTCTGCAAAAACATCAGCTTCCTGGACACCTAAATGGTCATATCCTCACTATCTATCAAATGAGTAACTGCACGAAGGCCGTTGAGCTAGGCACTTCATTTCTACAACAGGAGCCATCATCAAACGGTAGCAGAAGCACTATCCCAAACACTTCTTGTTCCCCTAGGTAGGGAATAGATATTATGGACCCCTGTGGAGACTTTCATCCCATGAGGATTCTCAGCTGGGGAAAGAAACGTCATCCGAGAATGAGCCCTTCCCACTCTAGGGCAAAAAGGGTCAAAATCCACAGATGCTCTCACACCCATCCCCAAACCTCATGCCTCCTTCCAATTCCTCTTAAGTTCTCCCATTGTAGTTCCTTACAACCTCAATGAAGAAAAATCAGTATCAGTGAAAATTATTTCATAAAACAAGATTAGTCTTGAATCTCAAAGGAGACTAATTATATTTCACCAGGACGTGATCCTGAGAACTAATATACATCAATACCCTCCTGGATACAATACACTGAATATATTGAGTTTGCATTTTTTAGCATCCATCCTTTCTCATTGTTTCCTGCCAATCTCTCCACATTGCACATGAACAGCTTATCTTGGTACTCAATAATTTTATTAGGTTAAGGAGTGTTTATTGAAATCTGGAGTTTTTTGCTTCTTTATTAGAACTCACAAGAAGCTTATAAACCCGATGCTCATCTAACTTTTTCAACAGCTGGCTTAATAAAACAGATTAACTCTCCTTACAAATCTTGCATCACTAAAATTATGTAACATTATACATTATGTAACTTTCCTGAAATCGCTCTTCTGATTGAAGAGCATTAACAGAACTACCAAGGTCTCATATACAATAACTGACATATCACATATTGGTGAACTCCTACCAAATTTACATCATCCCAGCACGACAACTAAAAGGAAAAACTCACCTGCCCTATTAAAGTAAGGTATCTAAAGTATTACTTGAAATACCACAATGGCAGCTCTTTAAACAAGTATTGTCTTTGATTTTTAAAAATAGTGGTTTTCTCAACATGTTTCTGTTTTGGTTGTTCACAAGATAAAAATCTAACATATTTTAACTCATCATTTGCAAATACATGATGGTAAATGGCAGCTTTCTGATGCAGAAAAAAAATACATGAGAGTTTTACTTATTTACAAGTGGTTATTCTTTAGGGTCCAACTGAAAACATAGAGGCCTCCTTATACGTGGTGATTATTACCTGATTATGATCATTACTTGAGAATATTCTTTAAAAATAATTCATACAACATGCTGTCATTCCCTTACCTATACTACAAAACAGAACTCTGCTGCTTAATTCTAGGAAAAACTAGAGCTCAGCATATCTGTTTGCTGAAATAAAGTAATGTAGAATATTGCACAAAGTCTTGTGTTTACTTTTTTCAATTTACAGGGCTATGTGAATATGAACTGACAACTTCACATTTAAAAAACAATATGTCAAACTCACTCAAAATTTCCTTTAATAGGAACTTCTTTTCTAGAAGTGATTCTAGAGTGTCAGAGGATTTTTTTTCTCCACTGCATTCATTTTTTCGTGATAGTGTAGGGACTCAATATATTTGTAAAGGTATAAATGTACAATTTCTCAAATACTTAGGCAGCTAAGTTTTCACCATGTGAAATCATTTTGTCATTTTACACATATACTAAGAAAGGTGTTTGGGATGCATGACCACAATCTTGCCAATTTGGACGTAGAAAATAAACCTATTCTCATAGCCACTGCCAAAAAATGTGACTGACAGCACATTATGGAAGTACTCTAACACTCATCAGAAACGTAATACATTTATCTAATCTTTGAATAGCTGACAACTCTCAGTTACAAACACACAGTCAATATTTTAAAGAAAGTACTTCACTTTGTGTTTTCATGTGACTAATATCTAATATTCACTTGTACAAAAAACCTACAAAGACACCCTGTATTTTTTCCATTAGCTTGAAGACCTCACATCTTTCTACAGCGTATTCCTTTTAGTCATAAAATGTCCCTCCTCAACCATTCCTTTCTGTGTTATATTTCTTGATACACATTTTGGATGAAGATCAATAAATGATTTTCACACTGTAGAATCTTCCTGGTTCTACTGCACCCTTCCATGGGCTTTCCTGCATATAAAGTTAAGATCAAGGTAAATGTCCTTTACAGCTTTATTTTAATGACCTCACTAAGTAAGAACTTTTGTTCATATTTAATTTTATGTCCTTATTATCAGCCACGATCAGTTTTGACCCCACCCAGCACTACCTGTCAAAAACATTAAAACTAAAGGATTCTGTTCTTGCTGCCCCATACTTTTGCTTCATAACCAGATCATCATCTTCCCTTTCCACCTGGCTTTTAAAGTCAATTCACATTTAATTCACATTAATTTATTTCATGTACAAACAAATTGTTGCTTTTTTTTTTTTCCTGATACCTCAATCCTTCCTTGAAAAAGTGTGGTCTGACAATGCTTTGAAAATCTTTAGACCCAGATATATTATAAAGTGATGTAGCAATTTCCCGTTCTTCAATATTTCCAAACTCATGTCATTATCTCAGTGTGCCTTTTATGCCAAAAACCATAGAGCTCTGCATGCTATTTTCTGTCAACTCCTTCATTACATCCAACATGGCTCTCTGTCTCACATGCATACTTCATGTAGCAGTCACTGCCATGCAAGAGTGACACTCCATGAGCTTTGGCACAATAGCAGTGATTTTACCCTCATTTTTAAACTAATCTTCTTGCTGGGACTCAGCCCCCCAAACAGCATGTCTTTCAGATGCTTTATCTTCATTTTTGTATTCTGCCTAAAAGCATATTACTGCTGTGCTTCCCTTTTACATGGAGTGCAGTAAATTCAGTAATGCAGTTTCATGGTCAGCCTCCTCCTGAGTTACTTGAAAACTATCAAAAAATATGAAGTGCTTCTTAAATAGCTCTTGTCAGAAATGAAACAGCTTTCTGTCTTCTTTTGCCAGACACTCATTACAGCAGATATATAGCCAAAGAGCATTTAAGCCTTTTCCAGCTGCCCCTTATATTTACAGAGTTTCAGCATTTGGAGAACTTTCTAACTTTGACATCTGCTTGTACCAGCTTTCTGCTTTATTTCCATTCTTTGGGAATTAGAGCAAACGAGCCTTACAGTTACAAGTTCCATTTAATTTCTGCTTTCTAACAGAACAGGGGGCAACTTCATGAAATGAGATGGTTGCTGCAACACACACTCATGAGAGCCTCTTAGAAGAGTCAAAATATAATTCCTCCAAGCTCAGCCATGTTTCTGAATTTTATCTGTTCCAGATCTATCCCATTAACCTGGAGAAAAAAAAAGATGAGTGGAAAAGCAGAAGCAGCTTAAATTGAAGGCATGTATTTGTGACAATGTGGAGAGGCCTGTGGAACGGCAGGTGGACAAGCTTTGTATGAACATAAAACAGCTCAGTGAACCAGCTTGAAAGTCCCGTATGCTCCAGGTAATGTCACTCCCCAACAA